GTCGTGGGTTAGTCAAACTGTTAGTCTGGTCTCACCAAAATAATCTTTTTTAGTAGTCTGCAGACAGCATCTGGGCTGTCATCAGGGAAGATCTGTGCTTCTTCATGTTTGCCTTGACCAAGTCTCAGTACTCTGTAGGCGAAATGAGCAAAGTGCTTGGGTGAGTTGTGGGGAAAATGCTGCCAAGGCTTTGCTGTCCCAGGTCAGTCCAGAAGCATTGCAGGCCTCCCCTGCACTGGTTTACATTGTGGAGCTGCTTGGGTTGCTGTCTCTTGCTTGAAGAGCACAGATATTCTGATGCTGTGTGAAGTGTGTGTGTAGCCTTGGGGATGACCTCTGTGCTCCCCAGGCAGGCTGACGTTTTGTTCTCCAAACCTGGAGGAGGTTCTCCAAGGTTCAGACTTAATTGGTGAGCAGTAGGTCCCAAAGAGGAAGAAGTTCAGTCCTGAGTAAGAAAGAAATGTAGAATGACAGGAGTTCCCAGTGGCTGGAGCTGCTATATTGCTCTCCTTATGCCCACAAACGTAGGCAGAAAATTCAATCAGTGCACTTAGAAAAGCCTAAGAAGTGCCTGATTACTCCAGATGCCTCATGACAGGCTCTTCTTCCAACCTGCAGTGTCTGCTGCACCAGGAGAAGTAGATACATCCCTAAGCAAGGTTGCAACAGCTGCTGGGCTTCTCTTCTGCCCAGGCACTCGTAGCTTCATTTCTGATTGACTCCTGGTTTTTGCTGCAGTTTGTGATGGAGTGGGGCTCTAAGGGCTGAGCAGCAGAGATTTGCCACAACAGTTTTTATTGTTCTATTTGTCACTGGCTCCTGTGATATGCAGGGGAAAGAGAGCAGCCCACCCCCCACTGTTCAGACCAAAGCCCTCTGCCAGCTGTGAAGTCCTCCTGGGTTCTCACTGCTCCCCTGGCTCCTGGGTGGGACCATGCTTGGTCATTCCTGTCACATGGCTCAGCCCATGGAGCCCAGCCCATGGAGCCCATCCCATCCCATCCCTGTGTGGTGCTTTCCTCTTCTGTCCCTGTGCTCCAGCCCCTGCACCGGCAGCTGGCTCTCAGCTGAGCAGCAGTGAAAGCCAGTTTGGCCGGACATGACCTTAACCTGCGCTTTATTTAGCGCCTTGATTTATAGAGGAGTTATTTTAAAAGCATGTTTCTCTTTTGGGAGGTGTGGTGGAGTGGTGGCAGTGAGCTGGAGTTTATAGGTCCTCCTGTGCTATTGACAAAGAATCATTTGAATCCCAAGACTCCTTTTGCTTGCAGAGATGCTCTCTGGCTTGCTTGGAAAGTGCTCCTGTTGGTGGTTTGTGCCCAGTGGCTGAAAAGGAGCACATATCCAGGACCTTTCTTGTGAGAGGGATGTGGCAACAGTGTTGGAAGCAGGGAAGCTTGAAATGTGCAGTCCCTGAAGGAGGCTGTTTTTTTCAGCAGGCTCCTGTGCCAGCTCTTGGGGACCACTGTGAGCTGGTTGTAGTGGAAATGTGCTGGGGCAGGAGTGCCTCCTCCATGGATCCTTTTAGGTTTGGTTTGTTCTCCTTCTCTCTGGGTGCTGTTCACTTATCCCAGGTCACAAAAGTTTCTCCTTGTGCCTGCTGGGGGTTACACTGCCCGTTTGAGATAATGGATGGAACCTCTGGGACAAGTTGCCCAGAGATTGTGGAGTCTCCTTCTCTGGAGATATTCAAAAGCTGTCTGGAGTAACATGCTCTAGGAGACCCTGCAGGGGTCTAGGGGGCTCCTGGTATGATCTGGGGTACTCTGGAGCAGGGAAGTTGGGCTAGATGACTTCCAATGGTCCCTTCATTACTCATTTATGATTCCATGATGAGATGGGCTCTAGACTTCAGGTTTATCAGCCTCAGGACCACAGGGCACCATCCCTTTCTCTGGTTTGTATGAGTTCCCGGTGCCTGCAAACCACGTCTCCTCCAGTGCATGGCAGCTGGCCCTGCTGGCAGGCTGGATGTGCGAGGCTGCCCATCTGTGCTCTGGCATTCCACAGCAGGACCGTGAGGCCTCTTGTAGTCCTGGCTGAGGTGCTTTCCTCCAGCCCCTCTGCAGTCTGAGAAGTTAATTAGTGCAAATAAGCAGCCCCATCCCTAGGATTGTGAGCTGGGTTAATGAGTCCCCTACTGAAGGAGAATCTGTTGTTGTTGGAGGCTCCAAGCTCTGCCATGTTATACCCTCAGCATTTTCAAGGTGGCTTCTGAGGCACTGCCACGTTTCACCCTCCTTCCAGGCAGGAGCTATCCCTGGGTGACCATCCTGGGTGGGAGCACTGAAGAGCAGTGCCACCTCCACGTTCATCTGTGGCACACGGAGGCTGCTGTGCTCTGTAGCCTCCCAAGGATGCTGGTGCTACAATCCAATGCAGCACAGTGGGATGTGGGAATCTACTTCCTGTCTGGGGGTTTCCTGCAGAATTAGCAGAGATTGGTGCAAACATCTCTTTCTACCAAAAGGTAGTGGTTGAAACCTTCTCTCTATCCCTTAGAAATCTACACAGCTATTGTGGCTTTGTGGTATAATCTAGCCAGAGGGAGATAAAGCCTCTGTGCTTGGGAGGGCAGTTAGCACTGCACTCTGTAATGGCTACAGGCTATGGTTATTTTGTATTTTACTAAAGGAAGGATAATGTACGACCTGGTTTATTTTAACCATATAAAGGATTTTTGATTTGGTGCCAATGTTAATAATTGTTTTGTGAAGGCTAAGGCAGCAGGAATGGTGTGAGAACCTTAGAGCGATGCATTGACTCATGTGCAAATATTTTGACTTCTTTGTTTTATTTGCAACAGTGAACTTAACAAATTTATTTTGGGGAGGGATTGATATCTGAAAGAATTTTGCTCAAGCAGGGCACGGGGACAGCAGATGGTGCAGAACAAAGCTGGTTTTGACTGATGTTTTGAACTTGTAGGCTGTGGAGGGTCAGAGGGAGATTGTCAAATGCTGCCAACAGCAATGCTACTGTGATAGTGCCCAAGAAGGTGACTGGGGTGGTGGGAGAGCACCTGTGTGAAGGCCAGTTTTATCTGACAAGGTCACAGGCACTTGCTGGGGCAGGTTGGTATCAACAGAGGTTATTATTTTTCTGAGTGGAAAGTAAATTGTTTAAAATAGCCTTCTCCTCCTATTGAGAATTGGGGTTAAATGCTCATCCCCTAGAGTTCAGCTCTTGGGAGTGTGCACACGGGCTCTTGCTTTTGGAGTTCTTGGCTTAAGAATACTGGATTAAGTATTCAAACTCAGGATAATCTATGATTCTATGTGTATGAAAAATAGCTCCTTAACCTCTGTTTGTCTAGTTATCTAGTTGCATTGGCCTAGAGTATTGCAGGAGGCAGCTGGTCTCTCAGAAAAGGTGTGGACACTTTAGGAGCCTGCTGCCACCCATCTAGCCTTGCTTATGCTGACACCAGGAGAATCAGCAGAAGAGGCAAGGAAGCAGTACTGTCCCACAGGCACTGTGTGGTTTGCCTGTCACCGTAGTTCTGCCAGCTCATTGCAGGCAGGGATTGTGGAGGCATCACCTGGGCATCCTCACCTCTCCTGTGCAGTCCCACAGGCTGTCCTACAAGGTGGCTTTGCATCACAGCAGGGAGTTTATGTTGTGCTTAAACACCCAACCTTCTGAAGGAGGAACCTGGAGATCAGTAAGCTGCAAGAGGTGGGAAGGCTTGTGTGAGGAGCATCATCTCTGCTGGGCTGCAGGTCAGTTCAGGCTTGCTCTGACACTGTTGAACTTTCTCAGGCTGGTGGAGGCATCTTCAGTGATGTGCTGCAATGGAGTGGAAGCAGTGAAACCATTTTTTTCCTCCTGATCCCCTTGTTTTACTGTTCCCTGCTTGTGGTGTAAGCTGTTGTGGCACTGCTTTGTTTAACTTTCTCTCCCAATCTTGCTGTGGGACTGAAGTGTATTTTCAGGCATGTTCATGTAGTTGTTCCTGTTCTACAGGAGGCTGTAGAGCTTCTGCGTAAGCAGCTGAAGTGCTTTTTTTGTCTCTAGTGCAAGGAGGTGGATTTGGATCAGATGAGGATCTGGCCAGACACCTGAGTAAACTTTCATTTGGTTTTGGAGCAAAACTTACTCCCAGTGGCTGTAAGCTAGCCCAAGGGATCCCCTCTAAAATAGAAAAGAAAGGAGCGATCCTGATCCTCTCTCCAGATATGTACAGCTTTATATATATATTTTTTTAATTGTTACTTTTTGGCGAGCTCTCTTGATTTACACCCATGCAATAACTCAGAATTTGGCCTCCAGCCCTGGAATTGGTCCTGACACTACGGGCAGGCTCTGGCTGGCCGGTTCTCCCAAATGAAGGTGCATGCAGGCAAGCCATTGCCTCTGATCCCCCTGAACAGGCATCCTAGGTATCAACGGGTGTGCTCAGGGACCACAGGCAGCCCTGCTCACACACATTGTGTGAATCCTGGCGTGAGCCATCTCACACTGCAGAAAACTCCTGGCTCCTGCAGCAGAGCCTTTCACGAGAGGCAAACAGCTTTGACTAACGAGGAGTCGCTCTGGTGAATGACTTTCCACAGCACCAAACAGCTCTGGCACCTTATCCCGCGCTGGGACTCCAGAGCACGGGAGCCTGAGGAGCTTCAGCCCTCTGCAGCTGCCCCTAGCCCAGCAGCCAGGAGTGTGCCCACAGCAGGGTGATGTGCCCACCCCAGGGCTGTGTCGCTCGCAGGCGCTCACGTGCTGCGGTGTGGTCTAGCAGCCGCCCCACCCCGCGCAGGCAGGAGAAGGACTTGCTGCGTAAGCAAAAGCTGGCAATTCTGCGCGCAGCGCTCTGCGAGCGCTCCACTCCTGTTTTGGGAGAGCTTTTTTGTGTTTACCTGCAGTCGCTAGTGCCAAAAGGAGCTAGGAAGGACAGCACTTGGCTCCTTTGATCTTCGTTCCTCCTGCCTTTGGAGGTGGCTGCGCTCCTGGGCGTTGGGCAGACCGTGCCCTGGTGCCACTAACGCTTTCTCTCTCGGCAGGACTCGGAATCCCTGGACGGCTGCATTCAGAGTACGTTATCAGCACTCTACCCTCCATTTGAGGCTACCGCAGCCACTGTGCTGTGCCAAGTTTTTGATGTGGTGGAGAAGACGTACCGTGGGGATGGACTGCACTACCTCATAGACTTCCTGATTCCAGCCAAGCACATCCTGCAGTGCATTCAGCAGGATGCCTGTGTGAGTACATCATGCTCTCTAAGGCCTGTGAAGGCTTTCTTGGAGAGTTTTCTTTCTGCTCTTGTATGCAAAACGGCTGGCAAAAAGCGCTTGAGTGTGTATGGCAGTCTAGGTGGGAGGGCAGGCAGACAATTAGGAAATAGTTGAGAAATTGTTGTTGAAGCTTAACCCTTCCGAGATCAGCGATCAGGTGTGGAGCAGTGCTCTCCCTTTCCATAATCAGGAACACCGAGGGCTTAAGGGATTCACAGGAAGAGGTTTAGCGAAGTGTTTGCTAGATGTGACCGGGGTGGCCTCTGACCCCAGCTGTTCCCTGGCCCTGTGGATGAAGCTGTGGGGCTCTCGCCACTGGCACGATGACGTGCAGGGTGAAATGCTTCCAGTCGGTGTTTTTCCAAAACTCCAGCTCCCCTTTGATGGTTGCTGGAACAGTCACAAGGCCCGGTAGCCCCGAGGAGTCACGTTACATTTACTGCCAGAACGAGTCCAAGATTAACGTGCTTTACTGTTGGGAGTCTAAAATGTTAGAAACGATGAGTCAAACACCTCCATGGCAAAACTTGGCTCAAAGTCTGCAAGACGAAAAAACCCAACCAGCCCAAACAACGTAAAATGTGAGTTTGTTCTAACTTTTTTTGTCTCTGAATGCAAAGGGGGCATGTGGCCAGGCTTTCAATTGAAGTCCTCATGGCAGAGGGTAAGGAATTTCTAGGAGGAAGAAAAATACGGAATAGAGGCTGAAATAGCCAGTTACTCATTTATTTCAAGGAAATGCAATACTGAGGGGACAAACCCATCACATAGATCCATGTGAGCTAGGCATCTTGAAAGTGTGTTTTGGTGCAGCGTTTGTCACCCCATATTGTCACCAGCCTCCAGCTTGGTGCTAGCTGTCTTTGTGAGTCGAGGAGGATCCAAGGTGGTGCCTGGATCCTTGCCGCTCTCTCCCACCCTGAACACTGGAATAGATGTTACTCCATCAGTATCTATAATTGGAGCGTCTAATTCTATGGTGCATAGTGTGTTTTTCCCCTTTAAAGAAACAAAAGGCTTTTCGTTTGTACAAACTGGTAATTATTTCAAGATGTTTCACGGCTTTCCCCAAAACACCGCCCTCGCTGAAGGAGCCAAGGTAGCAATTTTCCCACTTCTGGAGATCCCGGCGGCTTCCCAGCGGCCAGCGGTGCCTTGGGCAGGTGAGGCGGTGAAGGGGAAGGAAGGAAGGACAGCAGCAGCGGGCTGGGCGCACGGTGCTGCTGTGCAGAGGGGAGGTGTTCGGGGCAGCGGCCGAGGAAGGCACGGCGGGGGCCGAGGAAGGCACGGCGGGGGCCGAGGAAGGCACGGGGGGGGCCGAGGAACGCACGGCGAAGGCCGCGCAACCACCGCGGCCCTCGGGGCGCGACGGGCGAACAGGCGTGTGCCGGCGGGGCGGGCCTCGACCGCCCGGCAGCCAATGGGAGGACAGCGGGGGCCGCGGCAGCCAATAGCAGCGCGGGATCGCCTTGACGGGCAGGGTGGCTTCGGTTGCTGTTGGAGGGCCGTTGGAACACGAGGCGCTGCGGTGCTCGGCCATGAGGAGGGAGAGGTGCGAGGGCAGTGGGTGCTGGGCGTCCTGAGGAGGGAGAGGTGTGAGGGCAGTGGGCGCTGGGCGTCCTGAGGAGGGAGAGGTGTGAGGGCAGTGGGCGCTGGGCGTCCTGAGGAGGGAGAGGTGTGAGGGCAGTGGGCGCTGGGCGTCCTGAGGAGGGAGAGGTGTGAGGGCAGTGGGCGCTGGGCGTCCTGAGGAGGGAGAGGTGTGAGGGTGGTGGGTGTTGTGTTTCCTGAGGAGGGAGAGCTGTGAGGGCAGTGGGTGCTTTGTGTCCTGAGGAAGGAGAGGTGTGAGGACAGTGGGTGCTGGGCGTCCTGAGGAGGGAGAGGTGTGAGGGCAGTGGGTGCTGGGTGTCCTGAGGAAGGAGAGGTGTGAGGACAGTGGGTGCTGGGCGTCCTGAGGAGGGAGAGGTGTGAGGGCAGTGGGTGCTGGGTGTCCTGAGGAAGGAGAGGTGTGAGGACAGTGGGTGCTGGGCGTCCTGAGGAGGGAGAGGTGTGAGGGCAGTGGGTGCTGGGTGTCCTGAGGAAGGAGAGGTGTGAGGACAGTGGGTGCTGGGCGTCCTGAGGAGGGAGAGGTGTGAGGGCAGTGGGTGCTGGGTGTCCTGAGGAAGGAGAGGTGTGAGGACAGTGGGTGCTGGGCGTCCTGAGGAGGGAGAGGTGTGAGGGCAGTGGGTGCTGGGGGTCCTGAGGAGGGAGGGGTGAGGGGTGAGGGCAGTTGGAGCTCGGGGACCTGAGGAGGGAAGTATGAGGCCCCTGGGATCCCAGGATGAGATCTCATCCCTCACCAAAGAAGCCCAGGATGCTGGTGGCCCAGCTGGCTGCCCAGCAAGATGTGGGGTTGTTTGGGCAGCTGCCCTTAGGGAGGGCTGTACAAGGCTTAGCATTAGGTATTGGGGACTTTTGGTGAGGCGTGAAATGTCTGGGAGGGTGGTCAGCAGAGCCTTTCTTAATTGGTTGTGACTCTTTCAGGCTGTGACTTGTGATGTTTTACTTCCAGAGTGATAGTTCAGGAAGATCAAGGGAAGCTCTAGGTACCTTGTACCATCTTTAGAGTTGAGCCCAGGCTATTCTATATTTTATTTCAAAGTCTGCTCGTTTGATGTTTTAAATTTATTATTTCTTATTTATGAAATTTATTTAATTTGCTGTGGTCTCTTCTTCCCCAAACCTCCACTGTATGCCCCTTCATTTATAGTCTGAAGTCACAGAGGACTGTTTCTTACTAATTGCTTTTTGAAAGTCTTGCCTGCCTTTTAGAAAGTCTAAACAAAAGCAGTACTTCCTCCTTAGCTTGTACTTCAGCTGCTCCGTGTGAGCATTTCTTAAACACACTAGAGGGAAAAGAATTAACTCATGTCTGAATGACTGCTGTAGAAAGTCTTGAGAGCATTGGATCTTTTGTCAGTCTCTGCAGTGGCAAAAGTGTAAATGTCTTCATGAAGTACTAGACAAGTTCATGGGCTTCAGCTGGGTATATTAAAATCATCAGCCTGTGTGTGATTCCTCAGGGACTGGAAGAGGTTTTCCAAGGAGGTCTGTCTCTGCTTAGCACAAAGTTAAAAACCAGATTTTTCCCCTGGCTTTGAGGTGACATCTGGAGCTAAATGGTCTGTTCCAGCTTAACCATCCCTGTAGCTTTAGAAGGTTCCACCTTTTTGCCATTTTTGTCATTGGTGCCCAGCTCTTTCCTCAGCCAGCTTTATTCCTGGCTGCAGTCACTGGGTGTAGAGGGTGTTCCTGGCACTCCTCTGGTGGGCCTGGTTTGGCTCTGTAGTGTTTGGACACGAGAAAAGCAAATCCTTGAGCCTCAGAATGAGATGTTAAAGGTACTGTAATAAGCCTCTTCACATAACCTTCCCTTTGAAGGTGCATTTTGGAGCAGGAGCAGCACGAGGATGGTCCACTTCTAAAGTTGTAAAGCTCTGTAATGTTTAGGCTATTGTGGGACTTGCATTCCTGTTTTGGATGTTACTCTGGCTCCTGATGCAGTTTAGATTGTGGCTTTGTAGGGCTTTTCAGGAACTTCAATGCATTCTGCATTCTGGTTTTGGTGATTTTGTTGTGGAGTTTTCTTCTTATGAGTCAGTAGGCAGACAAGTAAACATCTAAGCAGTGAGGCTGTTTTTGAATTTCTTAATGTATGAGTGGCCCTCCAGTGGGTTACTCTGCATTCAGATTTTAACAGAATCTCTGTGTCAAGAATGTGCTGGTGGAATTCAGCTTTATGTTTATGCTGCTGCTGATTGTGTCTTTCACTTTCCAGTCCTATAAACTATAATAGTTTGGGAACTGATCTTCATCTGCCTCTTCTTCCCCTGAAAGACCCTTGGTACAGACCCTTGGCCTTGACATACCTACTGGGAGATACTGTAATGGGAGGAGAGGGGTTTGGTGTGCTGCAGTGGTACAGTCTCTTCTGGAAAACTGCAAATTCCTCTAGTTATGTAAACTTATGTAAAAATGCTTGATTTGGGCACTTTGGTAGGAGCCACAAGCTTTGTTGGCTGAGGTGTTGTGTGAGTCTTGAGCTTGGTATAAAAGTCCATGAAGTACATTTAGCCTGAGACCTGCTGGAGCCAGAATCAGCTTGTGCAAACTGCTGCAAGAGGTGGTTTTGATTTGCTGGGTTTAACTGTGTTGTGGATGAAAGGAACTTAACTGACAGAGGCATCTGTGTCTTGCAGATCAGAAAGCCTGAGAACATCAGACTGCCCAGCTTAGCTGTCCCTTTAGGGAAGTACAAGCAACTGTGTGTCAGGGATTTTTGGTTCTAACTTAATAGAAAGAGGAAAGAAGGGGAGATGTGTCTGCTGTGAGTCAAGGTTAGAATAGTAAGGTAATAATAATATGATCCTTCAAGTAAATGAAAACTAAAGTAAGGTTCCTTTTTGTAGTGATACAGTGTGTGAGTACATCAGTAGGACAGTAGCAGTAAGTGAATAGAAGTAAAACTACTGTGACTGAACTTGACTGTTTTGAAGAAATAGGACTGGCAAGTCTCCATCCTGGAATATGGAAGAAGTTACCATATAATGCCCAATGTCTGGTAGCAGGGATTTTATTAAATCTGTCAAGTCAGGACTAGTAACAAAATACAGAGAACAAGCTGAGCCTACAACATTGTGCACTGAATTAAGGACTGAATTAACTGACCCATGAAAAACTGAATAACGTTTTCATGTGGTTTGCTCCATGGCAGGTAGTGTCACACCAGCCTTTTTAATAAACCAGCTCTCTCTAGAAAGATAAGTTTCATTGTTTAATCTCTGCCATAAAGGATTTATTATGGAGTCATTTGGAAGATCAATTACTGTGTCAAAGGGATTGAGGTTTATGCAAGAATTGCAAGGTGGCTACAAACTGGTGAAAGGGAGGGAGGGTGTTTGTACTGTGGGGAAAATGGGGTTGGAGGCTGGAATCATGAAACATGCTGTGCTTCTCATCCATGACCTTGGCATAAAAAGTAAGAGTATGTATGGCATGTTTGTGGTAAAACCAACCTGGGACACACAAACTATAAGGTTGAAGAGAGGGGTGATAAATGCATTGCACAAGATGAGCTCTAAAACTTAGTACTTAAATTTTGTAGTGGTAGACTCAGGGGACAAGCGTGTGCCTCCACAGAGTGGCAGGCAGAACTTCTGTTGTGGACTGGAGTTCATCAATTTGGAAAGAAACACCAGGAGGTGACTGGGTTACTGTAGGAGTGTGACTGAAAGATGAGTTTGATCTTAGCTTTAAGAGATGCTTCTAGCACATTTGGGAAGTGCTGGTGCCATTACAGGCAGTGTTTTGCAATTCTTTGCACAATGAACAAGTGGTGTTTAAGAAAAAGAAATGGGCATTAGAAAGGAGATACTTCAGGCACACTGAGGACATGATGAAGGTAGACATGCTAAGGTCATGTGACACAGGTTAGTAAGTCTAAGTAATGGAAACACATCCAGAAAATACAGGATTGAGGAGGAGGAATTACTGAATCTGAAGGATGATTTGGGTTTCTAAACCTGTGAGCAACTTTGCTTCAGGTGCAAGGAGAGTTAGAAATCTGGTGGGGCTGAAGGTAAGGCTTGATGAACATAAGAAGGAAATTGCTTTATGCCAGTACCTGTTGTTTCAAGCTGTGTGAGGATCCAGGAAGTTCCTTTATGTTCTCTGGTTTCTCTGCTGTATGGCAAAATAATTGAATTAATTGAATCCAAAGCCATGTCATACAGAAAAAGTTGAAATTAATTGTGGAATTGATGGCTTATATAATGGCTTAGTTTAAATCTTACCCAAACAGAATCAAGTTCAAAGCACTGGACATTATTTTTTGAAGTTGTGATAAAGCTGTAAATAATTGAGTCAAGTCAGTTCAGCCATGAAACTTCAGTTCTTTTACCTGGGTGGGATTTGTCTGAGGCATGACCTGAGTGCTGCTATGCTTGGGGAATGAGGAAATTGCTGGTATGTTAAGTGTGGCTCCTCACAGCTTGCTGATGGCACTTGCTGCTTTCTTTCTCTGTGGCGCTGCTGTTCTTTCCTCATTTGCTGCTGCCTATCTCCTGTTTTGTCTTTGCACTGTCCTCTTCCTTTCACTGGGAGGTTGCAGCCTCCCAGTGTAACTTGTGCCCACCTGTCCTGAATGGGTGGTTTTTGTTGGTAGATTTTTTTTATTTCTGCTTTTTAAAGAGGAGACCTTAGTGTGGACAACTTGCCTACATCAAAAACCAATGACCCTAAATTGATCTGTTTTCTTGATCTCTTACTGAGAAGCTTGAGCTGAGATCCTTTGCTTGTGCTGAAAACACTTTCTCTTGTCTCCACAGGCTCCGTACTGCGGGTTGCTGTTTCGCCATGCGGGCTGGCCCCTGTGTATTCAAGAGAAGATTATAATCCAGCTAGCTTCCATTGACTGGCGAATCTTGAAGCCTGGTGACTTCTACCTGCAGGTGGTCCCCTCTCTGAAGAAGCCTCCACGAATTGTATTGAAATGTTTGGCAAAAGATAAGCATAATGTAGAAGAAGTGGTGATTCCAGAAGTTTCATATACCTCTATTTTCACTCTGGAATGGTTGAGTACGTTCAATGGAGAGCGGATGGGCATAGCACTGGAAAATTGTTTACTAACCACTGATGACAAAATATTTCGTGTCCCCTGGAATAAAGTGGTTAATCCTGAATTTATAAATAAACCAAAACTAATTGAAAACAGTATCATCTCTCCAGAAATTACAGAGGAACGTTCAATTTTGTGCCTCCCCACGGACCGTAGTGAGTGTGTTTCACCAGACCTGAGATCTCAGTATCTACAGGAACAAAGTGCCAGTCGAGACAACCCTGTCATTAGCAGCACAGCTCCACAGTTAAATGAAGCTCTGGTCAATGGTGTCTGTACGAGTCCTGTGACTGAAGAGAACTTGGGAAGTGACCTTGAAGGGGAGTACGTTGAGCTGGCAGAAGTTTCCCTGCCCAGATTTGGGCCACAAACAGGATCTTTAACTCAGTCGCTGGCATTAAGTTATCTAACTCAGCCCAGGGCACGAGTGAATGAGTCTAAAGGCAAGCACAGGTTTATTGTCATACAAGACAGCACCTACTCCAAGAACTTAATTCAATCAGCACTTATGCAGAAGGAGCACTCTCAAATGGACACTCTGAGCACTTCTACAGAAGTTCTCAAAAATGTTACTCCATTGGAAGGCAACCAAGTGATGGCACATGGAGCACTCTCCCCAGAAGGTCAGCTGATACCAGCTGATCCTGGAAGTATGGCTGATAACTTTCCTGTGGCTGAGCCTCCTTCTTGCTGCGCAGAACATTCATCTGCAGAGCGGGAGATTCACAGTGAACACTCACTGGATTGGCAATACACATTGTGCAGCTACAGTGATATGTGTACTGGAGATGCTGTCAGCTGCAAGGCACGAGTGCCTGATGCCACTGGAAACATGGAGGGAGAAGGTGATGCACCTAGTGAAAATGCTGGTGTTGAAACATTGGAGCAGAGCCCAGAAGTGATTCTAGATGCTACTGCTGCTAAAGAGGAAATAATGCTGGGAGTACACACAGAACCACTGACTGAGGGTCAGAAAGGGGTGACACTGATGGATGCTTCTTCTGTATCTGTCCTAGGGCCTTTGGGGCCATGTTGCACACTAAAGGAAGCTTCTGATGTCTCTTGCCAGGGTGTCAGTGGAAGTGTTGAGCCAGTTCAGGTCTCTACATTGCCTGAGAATTCAGATGAAGGTGAGGAGGGAGACTCTCCTTCAGGGACCATGACAGATGTAAGCGCTTGCTGCAGCAATATTGAAGTAAATATCAGTTCTCCATTAAGTCCTCCAGAAGAGAGCCAAGGAGATGAATTTGAGGTGGGAAGAAGGGACAGCCAAGAGGAAGAGTCTAAAGAAATGTTGAATGTAAGTGAAAATCAGACCAGTCATAGCCAGTGTTCTGTGCAAGCTCCAGTGGATGGAACCTTGTTAGATGGTGAAGAGCAAGAGCATAAAAAGGCTGAAGAAGCCATACCACTCACAACTGCCCAATCAGCTGAGGAGAATCAGATGGCAGAACAATTAAATAACAGTGACCTGTTGGCTCCCAGTGCACAAGAAGAAGACTCAAGTCTGTTCCAAACCCAGAGGTCTGGAGGGAGGTTTGAGGAACCACAAAGACTGGAAAACCATGGCTGTGAAAGTGAAGAGAACTCTGTGCTGAACCTGGAGCATGTTGCAATGCAGGACTTGCAGGGACAGGTAGAGAACCAGGAAAGTTGTTCTTGCAGGGAAAGGTTGAAGATTACAGCCTCGAAAACACTGGAATCCATTCAAGAGGAATTGGAGGGTGGACCACTGTCCTCAGGACCTGCTGAGGGGCATACAGAGCCTACCACTCTGGACTCCCAGCCAGAGGTGTTGTCTGGGGCATCACCTCCTAAAGGTACAGCCATTGGATGTGTGTGGTTGTGTTTGATAACATGGACTGAAAGCAAAGTCCTCAAGGAGTACTCCTTGAATACTGCTTATCAGGCAGGGTTTGATAAATACATCAGGGAGGCTTTGGGGTAATAGCACAAAATACTGGGAAGTGATTAAATTTTTTGTGGCATGAATTTAGCTTTCTCTTCACAGGTGGGTTTATTGTGGTATTTTTTTAATAATTCTTTTCAAATTTACGTTGGTTCAGAACAAAGTTCAGTTGGGAGAAGCTTTTAATTTCAGTTAATCTGATTGCTGGTGACCTCCTTCCGCTTACATTCATGATGTGCAGAATATGTGAGGAGAGACTTGTCTAACTGTACAAGGCTTTCATATTTGAAAACTGGCTTTGGGAAGATGGCTGTGGCAAGAGGAAGCAGCAGTGGATGCCGCAGTAAAATACTAGCTGTGTAACGTGACCTGAAGATCAACAAATGTATGTGCTGATAACTGATTCAGGCAGCAAACTGCAGAGCTGAGGGATTCCCCCCTCTTCCCTGCCTTCCCCTCCGGCATGCTTTCTTCAGCTCGATTGTGTTTCAAGTAGGAGCTGTTTAACTTGAGTGGGAGAGCACAGAAATTAAGCATCTAACTTCAACTCAGAAGGAATGTTCAAGCAGGTATTGCCCACATTCCTTGCTTGGGTTCCTGAGCTGGAGCAGTGCTGCTTCAGGAGGAATTGAGAGGGCAATCCAGGTGTCTGCCTTTTGCACCAGACTGTAGGCAGGCGGTGTGTAACCGCATGGGCCCGGTGTGGGCTTTGCCCAGCTCTGCTGAGTCTGGAAAGCCGCAGCTCGATATGCAGATCACACAGGGGAACGGGTGTGTGGCGGGGGCGGGTGGAACATGCCATTCCAGTTCAGCAGCTCTCATTCCCTGAGACCCCTGGCTAGGAAAATTACCCAGCTTGAAATGTTGGAGTGAGGACTCTTGAAAGGGTTGGCGTACAGACCCATGTTGCTAGAGCACATTTGACCCTCTGGGGCAACAGATCCAGAGCTGGTTGTCTTGGGATGTGCTGCCACTGTAATGCTTGCCCTGGTCCCAGATTATGTGGCCAAGAGCTGCAGCATGATTCTGTTTGACTGCACACACAGCTGCTTCTCAAGTGCCCAAAAGTCACATTTTACCTGATGTCTTAGTGACCTTCTAATGGAGCTAAATTAGTGTCCACTGATTAAAATAAAATTTCATTAACATTTGTATCAAACTAATTTAATTCTATAGTTAGGCAAGCCCAGGGTTACCAGGCATTTTCTGATACTTTTGAAGTGACAAGCATTTCTCTTCTGTGAAACGGAGGGGTCAGCTCAAAAGTTTCTGTTTTCTGCAGCGCACGTCTCTCTGAGCATCTGTCACCAAGAGCAGAAAAAAAAAATGCTGCCTTCTGCCTACCTGTGAGTCTTGGTGGATATATGCCAGGAAATAGCCATGCTGTGGGTATCCATTCCCCTGGCCAACCTGAACCTGGCCTGACTTCATGCTTGCTCAGGACCAGGCCTTGGAACACCTAGTCTGTGGTTAGTGCTGGGTGGACACTTTGCTCATGAGTGCTGTGGCTGCTTATTCAGTGTTCTCATCTCTTCTCTTTTAAAATTAACCAGGTCCAGCTCGTTATGAGACAAGTGTGATGTTCTCACTGGTCCAAAGAATAAATCTTGGCCGCTGCTGGAGATTTCAGCAGTGATGGACCCCTCTGGGGTACACACAGAGTTTGTTTTTGATGAAAGACAATACAAGTGATTTTGGGGATTTGGCTGAAATAAGTGATATTTGTGGCTCAAGTCTGCCGATGTTAAACTTGGCCATTGCAGTTTAAGAAAAATGTAAACCTTGTTATCTCAGTGTTTGTAGAGCAAAAGAAACAACCTAAATGCCAGGAAAACCACCCAAACTATCCAAATAAATTTTTTATGGTAAAGGGCAGCTCAAGTATCTGTTAATGCTGACAGTAGTTATTAAACACTATAGCTGGCACTATAAAAAGCTTAATCCATTCAATTACATTTGATTGCTTTGAGATCCAAACAAGCCATCTCCTTATCTAGCCCCATTAAACCCTCAGAGATGTACTTACAAGATAATTCAGAGATAAAATTACAAAGCAAAACAAATGTCCTACAAATGGACTTTACTTTTCCAGCAAGGTGGTTCTGTAGGTTAAATTCTCTGTGTCTTGTTGAGGTCATTTTGCTGCTATGATTGGAAACTGTGGGTATCTTGCCTAAACTATAAATAACAACAAAGCTTGAGCTTTACTGGGTCAATTCAGATCTGAAATTCACACCTCAGCAGCAGTGGGCAGAGGCACAATTTGCTCTGTGTGAGGTGGAGAAGCTTGCTTGTTGCAGCAGATATTGTCGATTATGTCAAAATACATGTTCAGAACTGGGGCATCTGAGTTTGCTGTGTCTGCAGGTTTTTCCTTGTCCCTTAACTCTCTCCTTTACTTCCATTCTCAGTGAGCTTATTTTGTGCACAAATAGAGTCTAACTTAGAAAGACTTAGATATAAATAGAAAAAAGTCTAAAGTCAAATGTGAGCTGTTTTGAGTTGATGGCTTAGAATTTACACTGGTTCGATTCACAGATAATGTGAGTGCTGTTTTTTTTCCTAATGACCGACATCTAAATGAAAGTGGATTTTGAAACTTTGCAGCTCAGGAAAGAATTCCTCTATTTTGTGGGTGGGGAATATCTTGATATTCAAGAAATAGGCTGAAAAGCCACGCTGGGGCATATTCAGCAGCACCTGTTAGGGCGTTCTGTTCCTGGTCCCGGTTACTGCCTGGTGTTAGCATAGGTGATACTGGTGCTGGGGCAGCTTGCAGGGAAAATGCTAATGTCTCTTTGAAATGCACGCAAGCAAATCCTCCTCTACCGCTTCCTTAACCTCGGGGAAAGGTGCAACCTGCAAACACGGCAAATTCAGATGTCCCTGTTCTCAATTTGCTTTTAGATGTAATCCTCCGCATTCTACAATTTCCGCTTTAGCGGGTGCCTCCGCCCCAGATTGCACATGACAAACAGTGTGCTTGGGCCTGCTTGGGAGAGCTGGCATCTGCAGATCCGAGCTGGCCTTCAGAAACTCGGGCAAGGGTTTTGTTTGGGCAAGATGTGCATAGTCTGGAGGCTGCACAGCTTTAGTGAAGTTTCCCCAGGGCTGAAAAGCCCCAGTAGCATGACTGTGTGTGGTGGGCTGAGAAAAATGTTTCTCTCCTATCTTTTGGGAGCTGCTGCCTCATTCCTAAGAGATACCCAAGGCTGGACTGTCACATACATTTATGTATTTCTCTTGCCCTGGTGTGTAACCTATGTGGAACACAGTTATATTCCATTTTTTTGTCCTCTTTAAATCTCACATTTTGGTCCTCTTTGCAGGCTTTGATCATTTAATGCAGACCCCTTTACTACAAACTGTGTAGTTCTTATTGCCAGTCCATACAGCTCATTGATAAGGTGATTCCCTGTTCTCCTAGAAAGTCTACCAGCTCTTAATGTGAAACCTTTGGGCACAACTTCCATGACTCTGTGATGTTCAAGATATCCTTTCTGCAGGAGATCAGTGCCCCTCTGAAGTGCTGCTCAGGAAGATGGAGCAGTGTTGTGTGAAGGGGATGAGCTCTTGCACCACTGGGAAGTGGAGGCTGAGGTAGCCCTGGGAACAGAGTGGGGCTCTGGTACAGGCCAGAGCTGGGCAGAGCCCTGAAGCCCTGAAGCAGCTTATATGGCCAAATGCAGCAGATGCCAGGCTGGATCCCAGGGATGCTCCTCAACCAGTGGTGTTACCAAAGAGGAATGAGCAGCTATTCTATCATGCCCATGATGGTGCAGAGTCTGGGAGCTCCTCCAATTTTCCCCCACTGCTGCATGATTTGTTGCAGTGAGCCATACTGCTCAGGGCATTTCTCTCACCCATTTTAGCAATTTTGAAAGCAGTTCAGGCTAAGCCTCAACCTGTAAATCTCCTTCACTGCTAAAACTTGTATTGAAAGCCACTTCAAGGACTGCTTTGTTCCTGGTCCTGCTCTTTAATGAAGTATTGGAATCTGTTAGTAAATAAACTGAGTCAAGTGTCAGCATTGTTGAAGCAGCAGGAAGGTAGGATGGTTGAAGTAAATTTTAAATAGCAATTAAAATGTCTGACTTGAGAGCAAGCAAATAAATATTCCGCTCTTATTTTCCTGAAGAAGGGTTGATATTTTTGTTGGTAGATACTGAAGTATCAGGTTTAGTAGTGAAGTATATCCTTTTATTTAGTATAGCTTTCTGCAAACATAGGGATAGCCTAGTTGTGTACTTAGGATACTAAAGATCTATTACTGAAGATGTACTGTTGGCTTCTCATTCTTGTGATGTTGGGAAATGGGGAATAATACTTCTTGCACAGTGGGTAAATACTTTTTTTCTTCTTTCCAGATAATTTTACATGAAAACTGAAACTTGATAGAACTAGCCTTAGTTTCCGTGTAGTAGCCAACATATTTAATTTTAGAATTAACTGGTTCTGATAACTAGTACTTTAGAGCTGAGGTGTCAGACAAAGGAAACATTTTCTGCAGGTCTTGAGCAGGAGCTGATTGCTGTAATCATCCTATTCTTCAGTGTTTTTAAATGTGTTTCTGACTTTCACATTAAATGTTAATTAAAAAAGGCTGGATAAGGAGAACAAGGTCTCTGGTTAATTTCCAACTGATTTGTCAGCCTCCAGTTGACTTCATATTTTCAGGAACTAATCTGAAAGTGGTGTTGGGGGAGTAATTCTGTCCTGATGGAGTAGCCCTCCCTGTCAGAAGCTGGTTTATCACTTCAGCATGCTCAGGCTGCTGGAGCTCAGCCAGGGACTTGCAGTGTGCCAGACTTCCAGGCTGTGAGCAGACATGTACTGCTTGACATGTTACCTTTAAAAAGGACTTGGACTACAGTAATCCTCATCTGAATTGAGCTTTTATACTTTGCAAACTTCACAATAAATTGGTTTCTTTTTTTAGAATTACAGTAGTATTAATGTTCTAACCAGTTTTGGAACATGCATGCTGCTGGCTAAAGGGCTGGAGGAGCTGCAGAGTGCTGGAGCTGGGAGCACACCCCTCCCCAGTCTGGTACTTACCTGGGATCTTTTGGGTGGAACTCTGCTCAAGCTTCTGTTTGTTGCTTGTCTTACAGGGGTGATGTCAGAAGAGACAGAGACGAGAAAAGAGACAACTGGCACAGGTGTGTTGAAACCAGTAAGTGAAAGCAGTGCCCTGGAGGAAACTTCACCTCCTGTTACTCCCCCAACATCCCCAACTTCTGGAGCTGCCTGGGGTGGTCAGTTTGCACCTACCATAGTCAAGGATGTGAACCCAGAAGTGCTCAGGAGTGGAGTTGCCTGCCTGCCTGGTGAGTAGCTGAGCCAGAATGTGTCTTGGAAATGTGGTTTGTAGGAGGGCAAGGGAGGTGAGCCTCCTTCTGCAGCACTGGAGACTGGTGCCAATTCTATTTCTTTCACCCCAAACCTCTTCAGAAGTTCCACTTCTTGAATCCTCTGAAGTTTCCGAATGGGCAGGACAGGAAGTAGAACTTCCCTCCCATTAATGTTAATTTGCTCTCAGGAGTCTCAAAATGTTAACCAAGCGTGTATGAGTCAGAAATGCCAAATCTGTGGGCTCATACCAGGAGTTCAAAAAGAGCAGAGTTGAGGGTGCAGCTAATGATGGGCTGGTGGGCCTGACATCAGACCTGGTCAGAAGAATAGGAACTTGATTCACTTGCTAGGTAATTAAAGGATAGGAATGTAGAAGATGCTCTTTGACAGGACTCTTGAAAACCAGTTTTATTCTTGGTAATTAGAAGTTTAGTTGTTTAAATGTAGCCACGTAGATACAACAGATTTTTAGAAAATATTTGATTTCATGACACATGGTGTTGAAAGGAATATCCCAGTGAAGTGGATGAGCAATGTGTAGGGTGAACAAGAGTGTAGCTAAATAGCAGATGACAAAACCAGCTATCAAGGGAGAACTTACCAGAATTTTTCTGCTAGAATCGGGTTGTAGGTCAAATGTTATTCAGTGTTTGCATCTGATAGAGCAGTGAATATCAAATAACTGCAGATGAAATTTCTGCATGGGATGAATACTGGCAGAGGGGTGAACAAAGCTGAGGCTGTTGGACAGAGCAGCCAGGGTGTGCAGGGCCCACACAAGACGTCTTTGTGTTTAACCAAACATGAAGTAAAGCAGAGGAAGTCAGATCTACCTCTCTAGTGAGAAGCAGCATTTGGCAGCTCTGTGTAAGGAGCCCCTGTGGGCTTGTCCTTTCAGAGCCAGCGACAGGGTTGTTCGCTGTGGGGCAGGAGGAGCTGCATTTGATCAGCTCAGGGGCCACGTACGAGTTGAAAACTGGGCAGAGAGCCCAAGCTCAGAGAAGAGGTCAGGCAGACTGTGCAGTGTGGAGGAGTAGGGAGGGAGAGCAGAAAGGCAGCACAAGCATCTCCCAGGTGGTGCTGGGTCTGCAAGACCCATTTTAACCTCAGTTGTGTAGAGGGGAGGAGACAACTAGATAGATTGAGAGACTGATTGTTTACCTCTGTGTACTTGTTGGTGATGCCTCTGAAATAGTTTGGGCTGTAAAGGAAATGGTAAATATTAGAGGTGGTGCAGAGAAGGGTTACAGCCCTTTCTTGTAACTAAACTGGGTGTCTTACAACAAGAGACTGGAAGGTTGTTTATCTCATAGGATGATTGAGAAAGAAGTGAAATCACCTTTGTGCCAGGAAGGAAGAAGGGAGTTAAAACTTTACCACTTTCTGGAGGAAGGTGAAATGGAAAACCAAGGGCAGAGCAGAGTAATGGGTACATTCATACATGTAACTTTGCATTGGGAGATGAATGGTTACAACAAATTCCAGAGGAGGATTTTTAATCTTCTGGTCTGCTGATCAGTTTGGACATTTTTATGCTGTATATAACACCCAAAAAGTTACAGGATTAGAGAGGGTCTTTCAGAGAAGCTCTCAGTCCATGCTGTTGCAGGAGCTGGACCACGTTACCTAACACTCCCTTTGTCACAGATTCCTGTCATAATGTACCACTGTTAAATGAGACAAAAGCATTTGAATATGTGATGGAGTGATATCAAATGCCCTTCAAATGCCCACAAAAAGCAAGGACTGGATTTGATACTGCTTCCAAGCAAGTTTTTCTCTAAGGAAGGAATTACATTTCCTGTAAAAGCACTATCAGATTTGACTGACCTCTTTGCCTCTTTGGGGTGTTAGTGGGCAGTCCTCACACCTGAAGGAATGTACTCACCACTCAGTTAAATGCTTCATGTTAGTCAGTGATAATGATGCAGTAATTACATTAGAAATAATAACTTTTATTATGAATGGTGAATAAATAATAAACTAGTAGCTGATGTAGTTAGCTGAAACTTTCAGGGTAGTTTCAGTTTTGGATTATGCCACTGTTGAAGACCTAGCCCTGGTGGCTCTGGTTGCTTTTTTGACCTGGTCAGGCAATTCTCAGACTACTAGGTGGAAGTTCAAGGTTTAATCAAATTCTGGTGGTGCCCAACCTGCTTGATGGACAGAAGATGTTGCTTCAGAATTAAAAAGCTTTTATTGAGCCATTTTTACAGTAATTGAGGGCTTTGGTTTTTTATTTTATTTTGTGATGGTCCCCTTAGCTTATGAAACAAATTATATTAATGAGCTTTTTCTAATTTCTTTCCATCTCTTTTATTATGCAGCATCCAGACTACAGTATTTCAAGAGTAATAGAAGTCCTTCCAAATCACACTGGTGATGAAAGATTTTTGTTAGCAGGAGAAAGCCTGTGTCACAGTTTTGGTCCCTGGGAGGTAGAAAGCCCTGCTTCAAAATGGTGTCCATCTGTGTCTGTGGCCCTTACTCAAGTCATGTCCAAGTGGCAGATTGAGATCACACCAGGGCAGCTCTCCATGCTTGTGGCTGTCCATCTGTGTGTGCTTTACCTGACAACTGGCATGCTTGTCCCTGGGATGGAGGAGAGAGGTGGTCCAGGACAGTATCTCCCCTGGTGGTGACAGAGTTAAGGAGACAAAGAAACAGATTTCTCTAAGTCTGGTTTTGTCTTGTGCTTGGGATTTCTGCCCACCCTCCATCCTCCTTATGCTGTTTGTATGACAGGAAATGGCTCCTGTTCTTGTGAATTACTTTTCACACAAAAGAGATGTTGTCCCTCCTGTTCCCCAAATCACTTACTTTCCCAGCTGATTGAGCAGGCTCACTGCAGGTACTGCCTGATTTTGAGTCTCAGAAGCAGTTCTGGCTTTCCACAGTGCTTCATCCACCTGCTCTTTACCACCTAGAGAGGAGGCTGGACATAATCCCAAAGCTGGCACTGTTAGGTCCTCCTCCTGTGACAAGCTGTGACTTTGGACTTTTGGAAAATGGGTGGCAGAGAAGCATTGTCTTTCCTGGCTAGCTGAAGCAGGGGGATTTCTCCTTCTTGAGTGTATCACAACTCAGCTGGGTTGCCCATACTGTGCTTTATCTATTCCCTGGGCACTGAGCAAGCTCTGCACCTAATGAAAGCCTAGCACTGCCTCTGCCCTTTGTCAGAGCTGTAGGCAGGCAGGAGTGTGCTCCTGGACTGTCCTCTCTGCAGCCTCTGAGGAGGAGCTCTGGGCTCCTGCTCCAGGGCTTTGCTTGCAGGAGCTGACTGGTTACATTTTGGGCTCAGCCTGCAGCATGTACCCAGTCTCCTAACATAGTGCATGTTCTGCAGACCTGTCTGCATTCTCTCATCTGACAGCAATGTGAAAGTGAGAGATTCTGTATCCTGAATTTATGAGATTTCTGCTTTTCTCAAGATTATTGTTAGGCAGCTTCAGCCATATTTATGAAGAATGTGTTTGGGTGGAAGACTGCAGTACAAATTTAACACTATCATGAGAGAGACAAGCTGAGCTCATGTGCTTCACTCTCGAGCAGCATTTGGGTACTTTGGAAGTGTGTTTATAGCCTCCTACCATCCGCAGCATACACTATATTGAGTCCTGTGGAGGATTTCCAGGAATGTGATGGGGTCTTAGTGGGAGAATATGATGCATACAGACCTGGAACCAGGCTCTGTTGAATGACTTGTGTGATTTCCATCCCCCTCTCTTTTTACAGGTACAAGAGACAAATGGGGACGTGCAGTGGCCATAATAACGACGAGGAACACAGTCTGGTTAAACCCCCACTGCAATACCACTGAGCTTGTACGCCTTCTTCTGTACTTGCACAGCATCCCAAGGTTTGTGATGCTCTTGGGCTGACAGGGCAGACAGCTGCTGCCCTGTCTGCTTTGCCTTTCCTGGAGGTGGGAATTGAGGCAGGAATGGAAGGAGGTTGACTTTATTGGCCTAGGAACTTGGTCCAGACAGTTCTGAAATTACACAGGTGGGAATCTCCTGCTAGGGTGAGCAGGCTTGTGTTCAGCAAGCACTTTGCCTATTCTGTATATGCCATGTGCACATGGTGTGATATAATTGGGTATGTAGTGAATGTTTTCATGTGTTGCCATGAATCTAAGCCATTCTTGCTATCCTTCATTAGTTCAGAAAATGGGATTTGGGAGCTGTCATGGGGCAGTCATGCAGCAACTCTGTGCTAGTGTTGTGACATGGTATTTTAGGGCCAGGCCTCCAAGCTGAGAGGGAGGGAGGATCTGCAAGGGTTGAGAGGCTGCCTTGATGTGTGACTGAAAATTGTGGCTGGAGTTTGCTGGAGCTTGTCTTCCTTTCACTATGACAGACATTTTTTTCCCCAGCTCATCACTATGTTTCCCTTCTAGATGATTAAATAAGAAGAGGTAAAGCAACTCTGATAGTGATTTTTTTGAGGCCTTTAAACCATTAATAAGGGGAGCAGGCTTAATCCATGTGAAACTCATGCTTTGTTTCTTATGCTTTTCCCTTCAAATCTGATTCTGGATGAGGTAGGCATTGGGTCTGCTCCAGACTGGCTGCTCTCCTGAAACAGTGAAGCTGAAACCAAGCTTGTTTCTGAACACAATTAGGAAGAATTGGTTTTCCTGTGTGGATTATCCAGTGGGCATCAGCACCTTTGCCATCAGTGATGCATATTCTAGGAATAGGAGAAATGGGAAATTGGGTGGAAGTCATAGAATCATATGGCAAAGGTAAAAACAGAGCAATTATTTGGTGGTTTCTTTGTATATATTTTGTTAGGAGAAGGTGGCCAATTAGTTCCTGTTATTATAAAGCCACAATGTACTGGTTTTTTCACCCTGCCATGACTACAGGTTCTGTTTCTATAATCTTGTTAATTTTCATTGGTGACAAAGGTGCTATAAAGCCACAATGTACTGTTTTTTTCACCCTGCCATGACTATTTCTGTTCTGTTTCTATAATCTTGTTAATTTTCATTGGTGACAAAGGTGACCTTTTTATCTTTGTCCTTGCAGACCAGAATGTCAGGCTTTGGGTCTGACTGTTCTTGTGGATGCTCGTCGCTGTTCGCCCGTTCCTGCTCTCTTCAAGGCATTCAGCACACTGCAGGTGAGCCTTGAGCTTGGGCAGAGGAGCACTGGCTGGCTTGCTGTCATGGTTGGATGTTGCATCTCCATCTGCTGCTTATGTATCCATCTGCCACCTGGCTTTCAGTTGGCTTTGGGAGGTGGACATAGGCACCCAGCCCTGCTTTAGGAGGATGACCTGGACTTGCCAGACTGCAGACAAAGCATAAAACCTAAGCGAGTCTGAGTGAGGGGAGAACACCCCTCCCCACCCCTCCAAATTTGCTTTCATCTCAGTGCTGAGAACAGCCCATACCCAAGTCTCAATGCTGTCGTGGTTTATCGTGCTTGGAGGTGTTGTTCCCTGCATTGAGGGGCTGTGTGGAATGTGCAGGGATTGTTGCCTGCCACAGTGAAGGGAGGGAGAGAGGCCTCTGCCTGCTGTCGTGGGAAGGACACTGCTTGCTGTGCCAGGTGGGAAAGCACGTGCAGCTGTTGATGTGGCTGTCAGTGAATGATTAGAATCGGATGTGCTGTAACTCTATATTGCTTCAGGTCAAAGGCTTTCATATCAGTCACTTGGGAAGCCAGTGGGTTGTGTTGCCCCCCTTCCCAGATAGAAACTGTCTGTTGCTCTTAGAAAAACAGGGAGAAGCTGGGTTGTAGCGATGACTAATCTTGGTTAAGCAGGTGTTCCTTTTAAATCAGAGCTTAGGTCTCTTAGGACTCAAACTCTGCAAACTGGAACAGGGCAATGTTTTAATGAAGCTGATGTCTGTGGTTTATGTGCTTCAGTGCCACATCTGAGAGTTGAGTCTGACTCAGAGGTCTGTCCTCCTGCTTCCCGGGCTGGGTGGAGCTGTGAGCTCCATCAGCGTGCTCATTCTCTGTGGTGAAGGAGTAATCTGTGCCCTGCTCAGTTCTGCAGAGGTAACAAGCAAATACATTCTGTTTTGTGCTGTGCCCACATGGCAGTGGGCTTGCTAAAGCTTTTGAGCATTTCACTGTCCATGTAAGTTGCATGGCAGTCTTAGTTGCCTGATTTGGAAATCAGTAAAGTGTTCTGGCTGTCTCAATTCTCATACAAGCATGGTAACAATGCTATTTTAACCTTAAGTTTCCCCTCTGAAACGAGGGAGGGGGGGAAGCTTTTTGCAATGCTGTGATGGCTGTTTGGCTCTGAGCACCTCCTTATCAGGGTGGTGCTACAGTTACTTAACAGAGTTTAATGTGCTGCAAGACAGATTGCTGGACCTAAGTGTGTGCTCCAGGTAACAGTGACTGATTACTCTGACTGTTTACAGAGGCTGATTACTCTGCTTATGGGTTTTTGATCCTTACACTGACTCTTCTGAAGACTCTGTAAAGGAGACCTGTTAAGCTAGTTTATCACCTAGTTATGGCACAGGAATAATCCCTGGCCCCACTAAAATCCTCAGCATTTACTCCGTAATCCCATGGCAGTGTTCTCCTCTGCTCTGGAACAAGGATAGAGTAATACAGAAAACTGAGTGTAACTATAGTGAGGCAAGCTAAGTGTTCTGGAGTTCAGCAGGATTGGCTTGGCCAGTGAGGTACAGACTGTATGTTATGCCTCTAAGGTCAGTGCAGATCACCTCCTTGGGGTCCTTTCTGAAATCCCTTACTCACCTCAGCATCTCCTGTCTCTGGCAGACTGTCTCTAGAGCTCATTTCTCTGCTGTCCATCACTCCCCTTATACAGGATTTTACTTACATAGTTTCTGTGAAGCCTACTATGATAATGTGCTGGAATCTGTTTAATGTTGAGGTCCAGCACTGCTTATTAAATTCTGAGTGGCTGTTTTCCTCCTAACCCAGCAGTGGGAAGCACTGCTTCACAGTGGGGAAGCACAGATCAGATGCCCTATTGCAGAGTCCCTTCCTGGTGGGGTCTGTTAAGCCTAGAGAGACTCCTGGGAGCAAAGTTTCCTGGGTCAGGATATGTCAGCCTGAGGAAATCTTTCTTCCATTTCTCAGTCTTTCCAGAATGAATGCATGATTGGAATTAAGTGCTAGTAGACAACTTTGGGTGCTTGTAGGTTAGTTTTCCCTAAAGCACTGGGAGTCTGTCAGTTGCTCTGTCCAGAACCACCTGGTAAAGTGGTGGGAGCTTGTCCTCTCTGCCTTCAGGGTAGGGCCAGTTGTATTCTGCAATAAATTTTTCCCCCCCTTCTTTTTTAGAGAATTGAGTGGCTGAGAAATCTTTCTGTCCCAGACAGCAGCCAGAGCAGAGGGAGTGGGGCAGAATAAAAAGCTGCTGCAGAGCTATCTCAGGAAGAAGCAGGAGGAACTCTGGCAGCTCTGTGCGGAGGTGAAGGGAAGTGCACAGTGCGTGCATGTTGCAGGAATAGATCAGACTTGTTCCTGTGGGAAACTGCGTAATGATGCTTTGGAGCAGGGGTTTTTGCAGGGATAAATGCTGTAATGTTTGGTTACAGGTTGTCACCAGTAAGCTCTGTGCTGTGGAGGGCAGGCAGCTCTTAAGAGGAACTTGGCTACTCAGAAGTCCTAGACTGGTCCCTTGCTCAGTGAGCAGACAGGGCATGGACAGTGGAATGTGTGCCCTGCCTTCAGTGAGCAAGTATTTGTGGGATTTCCCTCTGCCCAAGTCTTAATAGAGTGAGATTCTTTTGAATTTTCCATATCAGTGTGAAGGCTTAATCCTGTAATCGGCTGTGTTTGTGTGTTGGGTTGGGAAGAGTCAGTTTAGCATTTGAAAGCAGAGAAGTTCTGTGCAAACCTTTCTGTTCAAGAGATGTCTTTACATTCTCACTTAGTGCAGAAGTACAGAGGAACTTGGTGTCAAGTTAAAGACAGGGAACCCCTGCTACTCCATTAGAGTGGTCACTTTGAGACTTGGAGGTGTCTGGGGACTCTCCCCTCTGTGCAAACATTCCTGGCAGCCTGTGCTTCAGACTGTGCCAGTGTTGTTAAGTCTGGCCATGGGTTTCCATTTGAGGCAGGAAGCCAGAAGACTGGAACTTCAGTCTGAGAAACATTGAAAAAAAATCTAATTCTCTTTAAAGGAATAATAATAAAAGGCTCTGTGTTTACCCTGGTGCTTTCTGAACTCCTACTGATGCCCCTCTTTTCTATGCTGTCCCAACTATATCTGTTTTGGGAGGTGAAGAGTTCACTTATATGTGTGAGACTCTTGTTTCTTTGCTTCCATAAAGTTGGTTTTGTTAGCAAAGATGGTAAGAGATTGTTCATAAAGCTGCAGGAAAGCTTCCTCAAGTGGCATCCTGCTGTTCCCAGCTCTGCTTGTCTGCTGAGATGCTCCTGGTAAACTCTTTCAGTCTTTGGGTTGCTCCATCAGTGCTAGATGAGACTGACTTCTCTTCAGCTGTTTAAACTAAAAAATGTGGTGAAAAGTACTTGATTTCTTTGGAAATACAGTTTCTTCTTGAGTTGGAAAACCTTGAACTTTTCCCTTGACAGCTTTATTTGTGATGGTTTTTCAGTTTCTATTTTCAGGAGTAACAAACAAATGAGTGTTTTGGCTACTGTGGTAACCTCTTGTTACACCATCACTACCTTTATCCCTCACTCATATTGCACATCTCGTGACTGTTGGCATAGAAGAGGGATTGTGTAAGAAAAAATTTGTTTAGTACCATCATCAGTCTTGAAGCTGTGTCCAGTCTTCTTCCTTCAGTACTTTCTAGCAGATAAATTCAGAGCTGGTGATACAGCTGTAATATCTCCCCATCCTCTCTTCAGTATTTGCCTAATGCAGCCTAATTATGCAATAAATCCTTTTTGGACTTTTAATCAGTGTTCAAATAACAGTGAAAGTGTGAATAATTCACTTTGGAGAAATTTACAATTTAGAAACCTCTCATGGTTTTGGAAGGTGTTTCAGTTGGGATTTTTTTGCTGTCTGTTTAAAAGGATCATGGTTTAGGACTGGATGAGAGAAAGGCCTTTTTCCTTTGTTCTGGGATCTCTGCTGCTACTCTCACTTGCAGAATTTGGTCTCCTTGTGTTGGCCTTGTTTCTTAATTGCTGAACTGGGCCCATGTCAGGTTATGTCACTCAGTCTCTGTTGGTCCACTTCTCTCTGTACTCTATCTCTGCTCCTCCTGGCAGGTACTTAACCCTACTCACTGCTGGAGCTGTTTATTTAAACAAGTTTCCTTTGCTGTTGTGGCCTGCTGTGTGGCAGGTTCCTTGCACTTCGAGCAACACCAGAAAGGATTTGTTGCTTGACAATTCCTGAGATCTTTGCAGAGACAAAGACTGCAGAGGAGACATCGAAATGGGATGGCTCTTGTTCAGTCATGTGGCACAACAGCTTAAATGGCTCTTCTCCTTGCTTTCCTGGTCCAGGCCCCACATATGTAGGGACTCCTGTCTCCATGGTCTGGATCTTTCTGCCATGCTTCCCTCTCCTACTGTTGCTCTCTCTGCCTGTTTCTCACTTCCCTGTAGAATGCTTCTATAATTGGAGAGCTGCTCCTGGATCACTGAGTTTGAACTACAGCTGCCAAACATCCCTTGTGTTTGGAATTTCTGTCAGTTTAACAGTAGAAACAGGATGCAAGTACTTGACTGTAAATTGGCAGTAAGTAGAGACAAGAAGATGTTTTTGGCATGGGGTTGGGGGTGGAGGGGGGAAAGCCACTTCCTTTCAGTTAGGTGAAGTGACCAGGAAAGTTATCAGGAAAAAACTTGGACACGGAACATGGGTTTTGGTTTAGATTTTTTTTTAAGATCTGCATTTTTTTCCCCCTGATTCACTTCCTGTGCAAAAGGCAGAGCTTCTTTAGTACAGCCAACACCTGACATTTTCCATTGCTTCCTTAAATATTGCAGGACTAGCTGATCTGAAGTAAACTACCTTAAAGATATCACCTTGGTACTCTGTAGACTGGCCTTCCTTAATTTCTGGTGACTGCCTTCCAGGCTTTGTAGATGCCTTTGAAGGATAAATTGCCAACTTGTCTATGAACCTGGTGTCATACATTCTCCTTAGTATCCAAGGCAGATCACTAATGGATTTGTGCTCTGTTCTGTTGTAGGAGATGGATCCTCACTGTATTCATGGAGTCTTGCTTCTGGTTGAAAAAGATCTGACTTTTCGGATGGAGAAGCCACCAGCAGGACAGGTAATGGAACCATTTATCTGGGGTTTGTTGGGCCATTCTTGATATCCTTTATTTAACTTTCCAGACAGTAAATTCCCTCTCACTGATGTATGTTTATTCTCACGTGAAATTTCCATAGGTGTCCTCTGTGCTTTGTGCTTGTGGTCTCTAAGGGTGTGGTATTTATTGGGTTGTAGTGTTTATGTGAGCTGAACAAATCCTTGTCCTGCTCTGTTTATTGCCACGTCCATCAGTGACATTTGTGCCACAATTGCGTCAGTCTGCTGGGGACTCAGAGCACAGGGGGTTTGTTGGGAACATGGATAACTGTTTGGAGGAGACCTGCACTATTAGCTAGAGATGCTTTTCATGTTCTCCCATTAACAAGGGGGGAAATGCGTGGTCAGGAAGAGATCCTGAACATTATGCTAAATCCTGAACTCCACCTTTGAAGGTGCCTTTTGCTTTCCTGGATTTTGCATCTCCTCTGTTTCCTCTCATACCTGCTGCTTCCAGTGACTGAGAGATTTCTGCAAGAAGGGGAAGATGAGATAGGCATTTGTGTGAGATTCCCTTTGTAGCTGAAATGTCTGGAAAGACCAAGAGGAGGGAAAGTTACCACAACATTACTGAACTCCCCCACTAGAAGTAAAAGTGTCTTGGTATTCTATAGCTGTGTAAGAAATGTAGGCTCCCAGCCATGCTGTGGTGAGTGAACAGAGGATCAGTCTTCATCTCAGTCCTCTTCCTGTGCTCCAAGACTGTTGCAAACTACAAGAATGGACTGAAATTCTGTGTCTGCTGAAGATCTGTAGGCTTCAGAGTAGGCCAGGATCTCCTGTGGATGAAGATGTTGTGACAGGAGTCAGGTTTGCTGTGTGTGTGGTGTCCCCAAAGGCTAAAGAATAACAAATGCTATTAGTCCATTTCCTTATTGCCCCCATGTGGAAGAATTTGGAGTCAGAATGGGGGCTGCAGGCATATGCATGCAGGGAGAGCTACTGAAGACATTAAACACATTGAACAAACACAAAGAGTGTAGGAGGGAGCAGAGGAAAGGCTAATAAACACATGGGCATGCAGAAGGAATTGGAAGCATCATCACAATTTTTTAAGGAGGTAGAAACTTCACACTGTGTGTGTGTGTGTGTGGGAGTTAAATTTCTGCACCTGAGTTTGTTTCTGGGCTGGCTTCCATGTACCTGCAGGAGCACTTGTTGCTCTGGCGAGTGTAGAAATGCTCTGAGGTCCTGCAGACTTGCAGAAGGCAAGTTACCTGTGCCAAGCTCCAAGAAACTCTTGGAGCAAATAGCTGCTGTGATGAGTAGAGAGTTGAGGGCAGGGCACAGGCTGCTCTGTTACACTCTTTTACAAAAAGTGAGATGGGGAAGCTGGGAGCTGGATTTAACTCCCAGATTCTCCAAACAGATGCAAATTGCAGCACAACTGTGGGAACATATGAAGGAGTTGCTCTGCTTACAGCAGGAGGTGCTGGCTCTGGAGAAGGCTGGCTGCTGCCAGACTTCCATCACAGATGTTCTGCCTGGTGAAACAGCGTGTTGTGGCCTGCATTCCTTCAGGGTTTGCCCACTGAGCTGTTCAACAAGCTGCTCTAAGATTGAATTGTTGGGTTTTTTCCCCCCCCTTCATATTGTAGTGATATTGCAGCTACACACTGCATGCTGTACTTCTGTGCAAGATAGATAAAGAAATAATAGATTCTGCCTTTTGTTAACCTTCCCCTCTTCCTTCAGTACTCACACCCTAATACAAGTGAGTTTTTTTCTTTTCCTTTCTATTCCTGTGCAGTTTGAAGTTCTCACCTCCATGAAATCCCTCCATAAGCACATAGACAGCTCACAGCTGCCTCTGGAACTGGAAGGGACCTTCCCTTACTGCCACCAGAACTGGCTAAGCTTCCGCAGGGTGAGTAGAATGTCTTGTGTGCTTTGGTGTCTCAGAGAAGCAGTGGCATGGTAACAGATGGGAACAAGAGGAACCTGTCAGCAGCTGAACCTACAAGCATTAAAAGACAATTTTCCTATAAAGCTGTGAATGCAAATGAATCTCTGGTATCAAAAAAATGCTAATGCTCTCTTCATAAGATGGGTACACACTGTGGTCTCTTGGCATGACTGCAGGAACTGAAGTTTTAGGTTTTTACTCATTTGCTTGAACTGCATTAATTTGTTCTATTCTTTCTTGCCTTCAAAATATGGTCAAATCTGAAATGGAATCCTGTCTTGTGATACAAAAATGGCTCTTGAGTTAGACAGGAGGACAGACATCTGAAACTAATCTCAGCAGAAGGTGTTAGTATCATGTCACCGTTGGACTAATGATGAAGAACTTGAATGTAATAACGAGTTAAATCTTTTTGGTTTTGGAGCAAGTTCCTCAGATCAAGCTATTATCTCCTTGGTAATGTCTGCATCTAATAGTCCTTGCATGAGTGAGACTTGGAAGTTCTGGATAATCAGTTCAGAATATTGGAAGCAGCAGGGTATGTGCAGACTGCCAGAAGCCTGCAGAGGTAGAATCCATGGTACCAACACCCAGCTCTGTGTGCACTTGTGCTGTGGAGGGAGCCTGAGTGCTGCCAGCCATGTGCTTGTTGAATCTTTAAAAGCTCTGTTGAGTTATTTGGCACACCAAGACTAGGCAGGATTAAATCTCTGTAAATCTGCACACAAGCTGGCTGTCTTCACGTTGTTTGCTGACTCTGGTTGTTGACAGAATTGTCACCTCAGCTTCCAGAGGATCCAGTGGTCTTTTGGCTCTGACCTTGCTACCCAGAGTGCCATGCTGTGTGGCACAGTGCAACACTTGAAGCAGATTAAGATGTCAGTGATAACACCACTCTGGTGCTGGTGTCAGGCTTCAGAAGATAGGCTTGGCATGTGCCAGATGTTAACTTATTTTTGCCAGCTTAACATCTAGAAGTACTTGTATGAGCCTGTGCTGATGCAGTAGAGGTACACAGACCTAATCTTGGTGCCCAGGATTGACTTGGAGAAGTTGAAGTTTATTTGGCAGTGACAAAGCAGAGAAACTTTGCAAAAAGTTATGGATTAGTTTAATGGACAGAGTTGAGAATACCTTGAGAGCTGAGGTGCTCTGTGTGTGCAGAAGGGTAATTCTTGAAGTAAGGACCATAATATCAGGCTACTTCTTGTCTTAGTATGTAAAACATTACCAAAGGGAGTTAGCATGGGAATCATTCTGTGTGGAATGCCTGTTTATACTGCGTGTGATAATGACCCGTGTGCTCAGCTCCTTTAGCTCTGCAGCTATGTGGCAAACAGCATTTATTTCCTGTCTCAATGATCTCACCTGCATCCTGCCTGCTGATCTGTCACTGCTGGCAGTGTTCCAGCACTCCAGGGGAGGAGGGAGTTCAATTCACTAAAGATTCAAACAGCTGCTTTTTTGTTTTGTTTTAAACACAGTTATTTTGGAATAACTGTTTCTCCCTTCTCTTGATCTTAGTGGCTAGAGGGTGGCATCTGGCAGTATGCAGGCCTTATATCATTCACTTTTCTAAAAAATAGTGCCTTGTGAACCCTTATGAAATGTTTGGACTTTTTTTTGTTTGTTTTTCTCCCTGCTTCCCCCCCACCCTGAAGAGCGGAAGGATTTCAAATTTGTCCATAGGTTAAGGTGCTTAATTTTAGAAGCTTTCCAGTTTCCTGACCTTTAATTTACACTACTTTTAATATGAGGAGAAATTATTTAAAATAGAAAAATTCCAAGTACTTGTTTTAAGTTTTGTTTCTCTGAAATTCATGCAGTGTGATTCATCTTCATGGAAAGAAATTTACAAGAAATGCTAATAGAAGAATGTGAGACATAAGTGGACTGGTTTGGTTTGTTTTTTTTTTCTGTAAAGCATGACCCATGCAAGCCATGAGTATACAGGTTTCTAAGGTCTGCATAGAGGCCTTGGTGTGGTGTAATGCAGCTGAAGTTTCTTATGGGCTTCTCTTTGCTGATACAGTCTCACTGAATGATGTAATTGAACCCTTGGATTAATGTGTCTGATCTTCTTTTGATTTTTGTGCTCTGAAGCTTCTGCAAGCTCAGAAGATCTTTCCTGTCAGCCATGAGACAATAATCTCTGCCTTGGTCTTTCTTCTTGTAGAAGCTGGAATACTTGCTACAACAATGCCAGGGTGTTTGTGCCTTCCTTCAGGGAGCTATTAATAAAGTGGAATCCACAAAATTACCAGGAAAGGCTGAGGTAAGCATGTCACTCACCTCGGATCAGAGGTGGACCTGAGACAGAAGGGAGCATGAGGCTGGATAGCTGCATAAAAGCTGTAGCTTTGAATTTGCAAGCTGTAGTAGCAGGGTTTCCCAGTACTAGTAGAAACTAATCCAAATGAAGTGATAGAGGCTTCAGTGGGTTTGGAAGCTGATTGTCTGATTCCTCAGAGTCACCCAAGAGATGTTTCCAGCTGGGCATGTTGCTGATGAGTCCTTGCTCCAGCATTGAGATGCATTCTCAGCAGCTCCAGAGCTCTGTAGCTGGTACAAACTTCAGTGTTCCAGGTACACAGCTGCCTTGGGCTATGCCACATCAGTTTGGCTTGAATGGCCTAGAATAAAACGAGGTGACAGCTTAGTGCTGTGCTGTGGCTCCAGCTTTGATGCCTCCAGTAACAAGTTTGGAAGTGGCAAGAAGGGGAAGGGACAAAGACCAAGCCTATGTGGTCACAAACTTTCTATTTCTCTTCTTGAGAAGCTGCTGTATCCCTGACATGGTAGGGAATTGCTGCCAGCTCTGCACTGAGGGTGCCAATAGTAAATGATGGAGGATATGGTAGTGGCCTTCCTGCATACATCTGTAAATCCACAAACCCTTCATGTGCATCTTGTCCCAAGGCTTGGAGCCATGCAGGTCCAGGCTCCCAAAACAGTAGGAGCTAAGTATGCGTGGGAAGCGAGGCTGGAAAGCTTATTTTTTCTGTAAAGGAATGGAAAAACAATGATGGGAATTGGGTTGCAATTTTAGCCTGGTGGGGAAGGTATCAGGAGCATAAGGAGCACTGTTTATTACTTTAGACTTATCAGGCTGGAGAGAAACAGCTATGGGAACCAACCTCCCCTTTTCCTAGAGTGAGCCCAGGTGGTTTTGGTGTGTTTTGGTTTAGGTTCTGGTTTTTGCCTGTTTCTTCATTGCCTGTAGGTTGCAATAACTGCTCACCTCACTCTTGTGATCCCTCCAGGATGCAGCTGTGTTGCTGAGGAATTCAAGGCAGTTGATGAAGAATGTTCTTGAAGATGCAAGTTTGGTCAAGGTGCAGCAGGAGGGTGGAGCGCTCCTCGCCAGACTGGGGAAGGAGGAGTCCTCTGTTACCCTTACCCAAGACTACAGGTGAGCCCCCAGAGTGGGAGAAGAGGAGATGGGGGTGAGCAAAAAGCAGGTGCTGGGAGTCTCCCTGAGGTGCCCTGTAGTTTGTGCAGGCTGGAGAACAGCTTTGTGTACCAAGGAATTATGTTAAAAACAGTAAAGGTGAAAAATGTAATGAATTTTATCTTGATTGCTACTTCCCCAGTCCAAAAACTAGTCCAGGTGGATTTACTTACATGGTTCAGCTTCCTTTTTCAAGCCAAATCAGACTTACCTTCTGTAGTGGAGAGAGAACTGGATATTTTGGGTACCGGTAAAACACAAACCTTAATTGAGGATAGCAGTGATGAATGTTTGGTGCAGGCCGTTATCGCTGTGTGATTCCCTAAGGCACTCCTTGTGCAAGGGGATTTCCAAGGACCTTAGCTGGGAGGAATGCTTGCTGGCTGAGGCAGGCTCTGATCTCCTGGCACATTGGTACAGTTTGCACAAACAAATACTCAGTGCCCGTTTGCGGGGTCGGTATGAGAAGCAGGGACTGAGAGAGCCCAGCTGTTTGACATCCCCAGGGCATTGCACAACTTGTGTTTGTGCTGGTAAAACACCTGAAGCCTATCAGCATGAGAAGGCCTCTGTGCTATGTACTGTGCAAACAGCAAGGTAGAAAGGCAGCCTTTGCAGCCAGGAGCTTGCAGCCCAGTGTGAGATAAGCGCTGGCATGTGGGTGCAGCTGAGGGCGCAGGGGGTGGCAGGGTGGTGTGGAATAGCTCCGTGCACCCACAGCCTTGCTCTGGAACAACTCCGTGTTGCCATCACAAGCTGGGAGGTTTGAAGGGAGGGAATCAAGAGAAGATAACAAAGTAGTTGTGGAGTATCTCGACCAAACACTGTGAAAAGAACATTTCTCTTTTTAAATTCAGCAAGTGGATGACAGTGCAAGTTGCTGCCTGTCACTGGGAGAGGAGGATCAACATTTGGTGCAGAGAGAGGAGCGTGAGGGCAGGCTGTGTAACTGTTTCTGTTCCCTGCTTGCTGTGGCTCCTGTCAGGAGCTCTGGCAGACTATGCAGACACAGTTCTCTTGCTGAACTGGTGAAGTAATCTTGATGCAATTTTGGATTGAATTGCTACAGTATAATCTTTTCATTCTCACATGACATGAGAAGCACAATAATGTGGGGTTTTGTGCTTTGTTTTGTTTAGGGTTTTTTTATTATTATTTATTTTATTTTAAGTAACACAGCAACTTTAGAGTCCTAGGAGAATGGGAAAATGTTCATGACTTTTATGTTTTGTTTTGGTTTTAAGCTAAGCCTATGTTTTTGTGCAGGGAAATGATCAACTTTGAAACCTGATCTGACACAGCCCCTGAGGATAATTTACTGCTTTGATTACTTAAGCAAGGGCAGGGGTGGGGGATACACACAGAATTCTTTGATTGTACAGTGTTTGAGTGCATGCTGAAGCTGTGTAGCATATTCTCTGCTTAATTCAGGTTATATTCATTTTCTGCCACTGTGAAAGGAGACTATGCCATGGCTCAAGTATATGTGGCTCTCTTCAGCTTAAGGAGCGTAACTTGAATATAGCAGGAGAAAGTTTTTCTTTTCTAGGTTGTGGAGTAGTTGCAGAAACTAAAATCCTTGCAGTATTTTAATTTTCATCTAACTTGAGGCAGAGAACTAAAGAAGTCCACTCTTCTTTGTTTCAAGATCCGTTCAAATGGGGAAAAAAGCTCTATCATTTGGCTAGAGAACTCAGTGTAAGGCACTGTTGGTTTTCAGTCCTCCATGGCTTTGCTCTTGCTCCTTCTTTCCTATCTGATGTGCAGATATTAAAGGTTCTAAGCACTGCTAATACTGTAAAGATTATGATTTTCAAAGGCTTCTTTAATAGATATGATCAAAGCAGGCTAGAGACAAAATATTGCAATTGGCCAACTAAGCTAGCATGGAGTGGCTATTGATGTATGTAGGTCCAATATTTGATTTCCAACTGGTGATGTGTGAAAACGGAACAGAACTGCCTTTGTGTGTGCACTCAGCAGGGCTTGTGGTACTGCTGCTCTGAACTTTGAATTGTGAAATCTTGATCAATGCTTAGCAGCCTAATTCCACACCCGTTCTCCCAATACTTGAAATAAATTATTTACAAAAGCAAGTCAAATGGCTTTACTCTTCTAAGTCACCTTTGGCTCTCTTGTCTATCACGTGTCCCATTGTTGTAGTTTTTATTGTCTCATGTGGTACAGAAGTCTGATAAAATAGAGTCATGACTGCCAGAACTTCTTAGTCATAAATTGAAGCCAGTTGTGAACAGGTGACTGTCTGAATGTGCATGAATTACATATAAATAGAGAAGGCAGTTTAAAGAGCAGTTTTCTGGACTTTTGGCTGCACTTCATTAAAATATGCAAACTACAAGTGGAGAACTAAAGTTAAAATTGTGATTTTTTTTTTTTTAAGAACAGAGATGACAAGCCCATCTGCACCTTCACCTTGGGATTAACCAAGCAAGGAATTGACTTGGGTTTTTTCAGGCAATATATTTTTCTAGCTGTCACAGATTTCTTTCTTACAATTTTATGGTTTCATGTGGAAAAAGAACGCCAGGAGCTGGTAAGAATAGAGATGGATGAATCCTTCTCAAATTGCCTGACCATAGGTTGGAGATAATAAGTTAAAACAGGCAAGGAAGCAGGCATGTACTCGGTGCAGTCAGATGTTATCTGCCAAATACTTTTCAAGAGCACACGGCAAACAAGAATTGTTTTAGTTTTTCTTTAGTAATGAAACTCTTCTCATGGGATTGGTTGTGGAACTTTCTCTGCTCGCTCTGCCCTCCTGGAGAGCACAGATTCTCTTTGGAGTGTTTTGTGGCACAGAGCAGTGGGATCTCATTGCTGCTCAGGTCTGACCTGGGATTTGTGAGGCTTTGCTAAGCCAGTACCACAGGTTCTTTCCTGCAAAAGTTGAACTCATTCCATCAGAGATGTGGGCATGCAGGAGGGGTGTGTTGTGCTCCATCCATTTGTTTCTCCAGCAGATGATTTAAGAGCTTTTGGGGTCTTTCCTGGATGGTCTCATCCTGAGATGCTGTAGCACCACAGCAGTGACTTTGACCAGTAACTGCTCCCATTGTGAGCTGACCAGGAGTCTTCATACTCCTTTCTCCACCAAGTACCACTGCAAAAGATAGCCTTGCCCATCCAGCTGCTTATCTACAAAAGAAGAGACAGTCTTCTCCAAGCAGGCTGTCTGGAACTCTGCCTTTTCCCAGCTTAGGAAGGAGGAGCTCAGTTACCAGAATATACATCCTGCAGGCAGCTCATTGCAGGGAGTTGGATTAGGGGTTGTGGTGTGCTCAGCTGATCCCTCTGAGATCTCCCACCTCCAGCAAGACCAGGCTGAATTTGGCCTGGAGTTGGTGTGGGTGTGGCACTCATGAGCCAGTGTATCTTTGTGGCACGTCTTTAAGTGCTGTAATGGCAGGGCTGGCCACCCAGAGGTGCCAGGGGACTGCTGGAGGTGGCATTGCCACTTGCTCACTGTTGGTGGATTTAAAGCCAGCACATTTGTCTTCATACCATCCACTGCACTGAAGGCTCAGTGCTTCTCCTGGTCTGTTAGCTGAGCCCTTTGAGGTTTTGCTGTCCTTGTCTTTCTGGGGATTGAAATGCAGAGCTGTAAGCCTAGCTGAAGTTCCTCTTGGTAAGTGTGGCCACATGACACAGAGACTTCCATCACTTCAATGCTGCTAATACTTATTTTTGCACTTTCAAAGAGGAAGTTTTTAATAACCAGAGTTAATAAAGTACATAGAGTTGGTTAGCAGGTGTAGCTTTGGCTTCTATCTAGTGTAGTGATCAGCTAACCTGTAGCTTGCAGGCAACTCACTGAGCCAGCTGTGAAAAGTGGACTAATGTATTGCTGCTTCTCTAGTAGATGTCAAAAACTTAGAGTTTATGAGTCAGAGAAGCTGCCAGAAGCCAGGCAGCAGCAGTGGGAGCTCTGGCTGAAGTGAGGCTGTGATGTGGGGCTGGGCAGCAAGGCCAGGATGTTTTTAGCCTGGTCTTTAGCCAGGTGTTTTTCACTGTTGTTCTTATTATTGCTACTCTTCCAGCATAGCCAAGAGCTGGAAATGTGTGCCTAGACAAGTGCCCAGTGAATGCCTTTCGTCCTGCAGGTGTGTTATGAGTCACAAGTAGAGTAAAGAAGGTATAAGCATTTAAAATGAATATATAGATGGTTTATACTAGTTCAGTCAGAATGCACCTGCCTGGCTCTACCATGGTATTCTCACTGTGGCATGGGAGTGGGATTGTGTCATGCTCTGCATGGTGATGGGCAAGATAGTCCCAAGGCTAGAGGTGAGAGCTGAAAGGAGAAAAACCTCAGATGGTGAAGGAATGATCATGTTGAGTGTTTGGCTCTGTGCACCAGGGAACCAGAATAAGCTTAATCTCTTCCCCCAAGCTCTTCATCTGAAAAGAATCTGTGCTTACAAGCTGTGAATAAGCAGCTTATAAATAGATGGAGGAGTGAATTCTCCTTTGTTTGCAGAAGGCAGTATAGTTAGTCTCTGTATTTTCAGGGTGGAGTGGCTAGAGCCAAGAGCTGGTTTTGTGAGCTGGCTATTTTTACTGTGGCTTCATGATCTAGTTGGAAGGCCTGGGTGGGGACCTGAGCTGAGCAGAGGGAATGGACAGTGCAGAGCAGACTTCCTGAGCAGCAGCTGCCAGGTTCCTAGTGCTGGACCTGACTCAATTACAGTGACAGAGAGGGTGATCTTACAGCTGAAAGCCTCCATAGTTCATGTTCTGGCTTCCACACACACTGCTGAGACTGTGGGTCTACTTGAAGCTGTGGCTAGTTAACAGTGAAGTGGGGTGCAGCTGTGTGGTGCTGCAGACCTCTTGTTTATGGATCTTCAGCAGGGCTTTTGCTAGTAGCATCTCCTGGGATGTTCCAAGGCCTGCATGTGCCACTCTGCCAAGGGTTGTGTGAGCTCCCTGTGGTGGAAGTA